TTTTTTTTGTGTCCAGGTCAGGAAGGAGTAAGGAGGCGACGAGAGGAAACAAGGAGAGGATGCAAAAGCAGAGGGTTCGACTGATACCTCCTGGTTGTCCAGTGACTGAAAACTGTGTGGAAGGAAGGAAGCAGCCTCATGATAAACAGGAAGAACTTCTGCCCCTAAGACAATAACACATCCTGCTGCTGATGCACACGACACATTTACACAATAACATGCATGTGCATTCAGACACATCACGGAGGCCCTGCTGCCACAGTTTCCACAGCCACAACAGTTTATTACCAGTTTAGTCGCCACAGACTCTTGTGGATAGTAAAGATGGAGAGAAAGAATTCGTCCTGGTGCAAGTGGAAGCGGTGGAGGAGTTTCTCCACACACTTTTAGCTCTAAATCCTCCGGTTTGTTTATGACAGGAAACATGATTTGCGTCAGCAGCCCTTTTTTTTTTTTTTTTCCATTAGCTGTGCGTTTGGTTCTCTGTGGTGCAGAGAGCTCAGTAAACACAAGGTGGCGATATTTGAATCCTGTGCAATTTCCCATTGGATCTGTGGAAAATCTTATTCCAGCACTACTCCATTAAAGAGGCTTTTATATCGTTTGTGTTTTCTCATGTTTTCACAAGAAAAGAACTTTCTCCCGCTCTCACAGGAGAGAAGGGGAATGAATGTGACGGTGACATCAGCTGGTGGAGCATCAAACAGGCCGGACTGGACGGGTTGGGACAATGGGTAAAAGGTTTGCATGGGTTCAGGAGGAGGGAGGAGACGTCCGAGCCTCCTCCTGGTCAATGATGCACTCACATGGCAGCGTCTCCAGTTCCTTGGTGTCTTCATCCTTCTCACTGTCCCTGTTCTCCTCCTCGCTGTCCTTCCTGAACTCCAGGGGAGACGGCAGCTCGGTGTCCTCCGTGTGGGAGTTCTGCTCGTCAACCACTGAATGGACAGAGACACGAGAAGGGATGGAGAGTACAATAATTCATGTATTCATTTACAGCTGATAAACGTGTGTACTGTGTGTGTAGTACCTCTCTCCGCCTGCTCTATGATCTGTCTCACAGCTTTCTTCAGACTGTTGGCCCGGAGCATCAGCTGCTCCCTGCTTTTGAACAGCTGGTGTTGGGAGCTGCCGCATCCTCCTCCTTTCTCCGTCTCCTCCTCCTCCAGCTTCTCCTTCAGCTCCGTCAGGCTCTCTTCGCTGGCCTCCTCCTCCTCCTCTTCCTCCTCCTCCTGCTCCTCCTCCACTATAGGAGGAGTGGAGTGGGGCAGCGGAGGCAGAGCCTGGCTCTCGGTGTTGAGGGCGTGGAGGAGCGAGTCCAGTTTCTCGTTCAGGATGGCACACTGGCGGACACAGAGGAGGAGTTTCTTGTAATGCTCTTTGAGGACATTCTGAGGTGCGGTGTTTTATTTGAGACTTACTTTGAGAGACATGGTGTCACACTCCTCTGCGTTCTCTGTGCTTTTGTCGTAAGCTTTTCCCACTTTGGCAACAAAATCCTTCACCGTTTCACAAAGGATCCTATAAAACAGGCAGAACTCTTTAGAGCTATTTGTTAAAATGTTAATCAAAGAGAAGCTGAGGGAGCACATAAAAATATAGTTTAGCACTAGAGCTCAAATCCTCATGAAACTCATAGTCATGTTTAAAATGAACATTTTAGTCTTTATTCAGTATCTTGTGTTGATTCTCGTCCGTGTGTTTGTGGTCACGCCGCCATGTACGAGTCCCTTACTTGGCGGCGGAGATGACCACAGAGTGCTGCTCGGAGTTGAGGATCTTTGTGAGGTGGGCAGCGACCGAGTCTTCGTAGGCAGAAATATGAAACTGGAGAGAAAAACAGATTTAAAAATATATCTAAAATGTAAGTTGACTGCACTTATATTGACAAAGTACCATGTTTGAGACTTTATCGACGTAGTTAGCATTTAAAATACGAGCAGAGGTTCTTCCATTTTCTCATTCGTACTTTTCAGAACCTGCATGTTCAGAATGTGAAGAACCTGCAGGACATTTTGGGTGAGTTTCTTTTCCACTGTCTGCTTCAGAACCGAAGCTGTGGTGCAGTTGAGTTGAAAATGTCAGATGCTGTTTGCAGCAGGTTGCTCTCCTCCCTCCTGCCCACGTCTGTCTGTCTGGACGCCTGCTGCTCTGATTGTGTCTAGTGATGCGTGTGAATATCTGTCAGCTCCTGTGAGTACCTGGCAGTCGTCGGCTCCCTCAGGCGTGGTGGGGCAGCTGTGTTTGGGCGGGATCTTAATCTCGTAGGTCATGATGCTCCAGCGGTCCAGCATCTTGGTGCTGGCCCTCTCCAGCTTCTCCAGGATCTGGGGCAGCTGGGTGTCGTCGTCGCAGGACGGGCCCCAGCCCAGGACCCGAGCCAGATCGTTACCCGTGCCCAGCGGCAGCACCCCCAGCTGGCACTGAAACACACGCAGGGGCTTTATTTGGCATCAGGAAGCCTGAAGCATTCAAAATGAGCTCAGTGTGTGTCTGTGCATGGCTGCCCGTGTGTGTATAATGAGAGCGTGTCTTTATGTAAGCCGGCCAGCAGCAAAGGCAAAAAGCTCAACGGGTGCATCGACCAAAGACACATCATTTTCCATCTCCCTGCAAATTCTTCTATTCTGTTTCAATTTCTGCATTTAATTCATTTTAATTCAGCAGAAGCTACTTTAATTTTTCTGCGGATGTGTTCGACACACGTGTGTTACCTGTTTGTGTAGACTGAGTTTGTCGATCTCTGAGAGGACCCAGCCCACACTGCCATCACCCCCGCACACCAGAATCCGGAAGTTGTCGAACTTTTGAAACAGTCTCAGACTGAAACACACACACACAACACACAGATGTTTGGACGTCATTCATTTGCAGGTCTCCGTTTCCCCCCCGGTGACATAAAATGCTGAACAAGTGTAACGATGTTTTACGTCTCTGGTCCTAAACATGTCATACTTTGGAGGCTGTTTTAGTTTTCCTCACCCGAGGTGCGGCCCCCCGTTGACCAGGTCAAAGACTTGTGCCGGGTTGAGGAGCTGCTTGAAGCGCCGCAGGAATTTCACCCCCTGGTTGTCGCCACTTTTGGAGTTGACAAAAACCAGGAGGGGACTGGCACATGACGGAGGACAGGTTGCCTTCCAGAAGCCTGAGGAGACACGGCAACAGTAGAAAAACACGTTTAAACGCTTTGAGCACTTGGAAATAACTGAGGGCCCAGAATCACATCTGTCTTATTTGACTGAACTGTCCCTTTAACGCTGTGCAGTCCCCAGGGTGCAGCTCAAACAAGGAGCAGCTCTGCTGGATGCAGCGGCTGGTGTGAAACTCCTCTGTCACCATGAAACAACCTCATCGAGTGCGAGCGTGAGACTGAGCGGAATAACAACACGGGAGCTCGGCACGTGTCAAAAACACGTTTTTGCTCCGTTGTGGAGCACGAACACACAAACACACTCATCTGTTGTGGCTGATTTCAGGGAGCACAACAAAATGTGCACATCACCTTGTGTGTGGTGCTGTTATCCCCTCTTTTCCCTTCTTCCTCCTCCCCCTCCTCTTCCTCCTCCTGCTCTCTAATCTCTGTCTACCCTCTTCGATTTTAGCCCCCCCCCACCCCCACTCTCTCTCTCTCTCTGGGATCTTGTCAGTGAAGGATGGATAGAGGGAGGGCAAGTGGAAGGAAGGAGGAGAGAGACAAACGAAAGCAGGAGGGGAGGGAAGGGGAGTCACGACGCTACGGCACGTGCTGCAGTCTGCTGCCTGCCCCCCCAGCCAATTACAACCGAACTCCCCCTCTTCCCAGCCTGCATTTGGGCAGAGGGAGCCTGGCACGTGAGGAGCGAGTGAAGGGCAGAGGGAGAGAGGGAGACATGAAGGATGATTCCTTATTCTGTTTTCTTCTTATCCTCCTCCTTTCATCTGGATTCCCTATCCTCCCTTTCTCTGCCTCATGCTTATCCATCAACCAATTAGCCGATGCCAGGGTGTGTGTGTGTCTGTGTGTGTCTGTGTGTGTCTGTGTGTGTCTGTGTGTGTCTGTGTGTGTGTGTGTGTGTGTGTGTGTCACAGTAATCCAATCACACACGCTTATTTGAGTCCGTCTTGCAGGTGCTGATCTCCATCTAGAATGAGTTTAATGTGGGCTCTGGCAAACACACACACATACACACACACACAAAATGTTAAATTCCTCTCACACTCTCAGATCTTTTCTCGAGGATCTTTTTTAGAAAAGGTGTGTGCCGACCTGTCACACGACCTATTTTTAACCTCGCTGTTCGAGAAACCGACAATTTCCTGGAGTACATACTTGTGACTCGTCGCTTCCTCTAAGTCCACGTTTCAGCCACAGGAAGCTTATAAGAAACTATGGATCTGAGGCCGACGTCATTACAGGGAAACTAACAACACTGTCTTTCCTGCAGCGCACAACAGAAGTGTGCGTCAAGAGAAGGTGTGTGTGTGTGTGTGTGTGTGTGTGTGTGAATTATTGTGTTTCTGGATGGACCGTGACATCTTGATCAACCGTCACCGTCCCTCGTTCTCTCCGTTCTGACGTCACCGTCCACGCATGTGACGGAGCAGAGATGACATCAGAAGACCACCTGGAGTGAAATCTCATCTATCCGCCTCTGAGACACGACGGCTCATAGGTGCTGATTGGCATCGACCTCTGACCCCCGTGAGAGAGTCAGAGTAATTGCATGGGTGATGGTGAGTGTGTGTGTGTGTGTGTGTGTGTGTGTGTGTGTGTAGGGGGTGCTTACCGTCTGAGTCAATGCTGTTGAGCGCTGTAGGAGGAATGATGGAGACTTTGCACTGACCCAGAGGACACTTGCGAGGGTACAGGTCCATACAGGCTGTGTGCACCTGGGAGAACGACAGCAAATACAACGTTTATGATTCATGATCTTTATTTAATATGAAACAGAAATGACGTAAAGTTTCCCTCAGGTGTGGAGATTAAAAAAAAGAAACAGAGACTGAACCAGCACATTTATACTAATCCTGAAACTCAGAAAGAAGAAGCTGCCAGAAAACAAAGCATTTCTATTTATTTTATTTTATTCTCGTTGATTTGTACCATATTGTGTGTTAACAGTGGTTGTCAGACTGTGGAAGTGGAATTTGAAATGAGGTTTTCTGCTGCATTTTAACAATTTAAATGTTTTCTTCTCGTGGGATTTAATTCATATTTAAATAGCGTTTTTTTAAATTCATGCAGCGCACATGTGACGTACCATCGCTTTGCACCAGAGGCAGCGCCAGTCCTGCAGCCTCAGTACGCTCCCACATGTCTTATCACACACGGCACACTTGGCACTGACGGGCAGGTTCCCTTCCAGCCACTGGTGAGGCATCGCAATCTGTTGGTTGAACACACACGTGCACACACACACACACACACACAGACACACACACACAGTTCAAGGGAAGGGAAATGCTCGTCTACTTCTATCACTGCCCTCTGGAAACACTCCTCTCCATCGCCTCCCTCGGAGAGTTGCGTGTGAAGAGGATTCAGTGGATTCGCTGTGATAATATTCAAAATCTTGAAACTGAGAACTCACCCCGTCCTCGTCCTCGATGATGTCCTTCCC